TTGTAGAATGTGTCATCAAAGTCCCATTGGAGGATGTCATTGTTCTCATGTTGCTCCAGGTCAAGGAGGTTGTTGAGTCTCTTTTTCTCAAAACCATCACCTGCTGTTCCTGCAATGAAGAGTCTTCGGATCCACACACCGTTCTGCAATCTCTCTTTAGCCCAGGTTTTACGCAGCACCTCTCGACGGTCGTAGTTCCCAGGAGAGCTTTTAATGACCAGTAGAAGAAAGACTTCTGCAGATCCTTCAGCTCCTCCACATTTGTCAGGAACATCCAGTATCATGGGAAAATGTCGACAGTGGCGATGGTAGAGAAAGTCTTGTATAAGACGAGGAAGTGAGTTGAAGCCGGGGACGCTGGCAGCAGATATGTTTGTGCGACATTTTGGCCAGGAGTATTTATAAGAAGAACTTCTGGTTGCTGGCTTTTGTTGGATGAGAGACTTTCTCACATCTTCTTGAAGTACGGTGTGTTTGTTGTTAGTTAAATCTTCAGGGACCCAAAGATTAACAACCACAACAAGAACTCCCATCACCATGAGAGTGGTGATGAGGATTTTCTTCTTTGAAGTGCTGCAATGACAAAACCAAAAAAAAATAAAAAATGACGTTACCAACAACAACAATTCTCATGAGACATCACATTTTAAACATGACTATTACATTCAAAATCTAGAGGTTAGGATATGTACGCCAAAACCTTCAGTAGGAATCTATTGTTTTGCAGTAACAAAGGAGATAATTTGAAGAAATATGGAGCTTTTAAAAATCAGTGTTCAGTTTGATTTATTCAGACTTTTAAAGCCTGAATTAACTTTAATTGGACTAAAACTGTTTATCTTATTTTTATGTCTCATTTCCAATGTTGTTGGCATATTGAGGTTAAACTGTTCAGGTTTCATAAAGAAGAGAAATTCAAAGTGTGTACAATATTACAGGCTGCTATCTGGTTGTCAGAATCAGTGTTGCACAAACAATTGATCAGTATTTTTGTCTGCATGTAAATGCAGATTCAAGTCCTTAACTTACTCTACTTTACTTTATACAAATGTAGATACTCTACACCGACAAGACCAAATACAAAGCATGCTATGTTTGCACAGTGTAGTATATATCGTGATTAACATTTCTACCTTTTTAGGCATTAAACTATTACACTGCATATAAAGTATAATCTGAGATGAAGTAGTAAAAAATGTTCAGGTACTTGTTTTTAAATTCAATAACTAAAGGTGCTCTCATTCAGATAAACCTGGAGGAATATGTTTTGCTTTGGTTCATCTGTAGAATGAGCCTAAAAGGAGGGAATTAGCAGAAAAATGTGTTCAACTCAATTCATCACTAAAGGCAGAATCTTCTGTGGGGTTGAACTTAAGTACCATATTCTAATCAGACTTTCAGTTTGACAGTGAATCCAAATAACTCAGGTCACACCTTGACTCTTTCTCCAGCATCACCACATGGTTCAAAGCTTTTGTTCTGAGTGAAATGTCTCAACAACTTTTGGACAGATTACTCTAAAATTTGAAAAAGACATTCAGGTCCCCCACAGGGTGAAATGTAAAAAAAGCTGATTGGTGATTCCCTCACTGTTTGTCTGTCATCATGTCAACATTTGTATTTGTTCACTACTTTTTGTTAGTGTGACAGCAAAAAATATCATCAGTGACACAAAATGAAACCTAACGGGACGTTATCTGGCAATCCTGCACCATGGACGTTTTTACTGGAATTTAATCATCAGTTTGTCTGAACTTGTACTGGAAGACAAACCTGTGTCTCTTGTTCTGTAGCATTCTTTCTTCGATTAAGATGTGGCACATCCTTGTTGTGTGACCTGCCCCTATGTACTGTCATTTATGTAATGTGCAAAGTATTAAGGAAATAGATATTAAATAAAGATATGTTTTCCATATCCGTGTAGAGTTCAAACAAAAAAACAACTGGATCATCAGTTTGAGACAAATTTGACTGACAATACCAATACTGTTGTCTTCCTTTACACAAATACAACATTAGGCAGGAGCAATATATTTTAATAAACAGTGTGACTTTTGGAAAACCTTTTTTTCATGAATTGTAGTAAAATTCAGAAAAGTGTCACTACTGATAAATCCTGTAGAAAAAT